AACTAGGACAAATGTACACATACAGCTAATGAATTAGAATGAAATAACTCCCTTACATGTAAACTTATTATACAAAATATTTTTAAATCAATGCAATTAATATTAAAATTATGAAGATACTAATTCTGCACATGCAGTGAAATTGCATACCTAAAGTTTTCATATATTTAGGTATTAGTTGGCACCACAACTTAATAGGCTGGAACATATGCTTTTTCATTCAGGAGACCTGAGTTCAATCCTTAGCATGCATGGTCCCCCAAAGCAAAACCAGAAGTGACCCCTGACCACCAAGCTGGGAATGGCAACCCTAAGTACTGCTGGACATGGCCCCCAAACCATAAATAAAATGAATGTTAGTCATCTTCAAATGCTTTACTATCATATATTACTAAAATGCTTTAACTTTACCTCACCTATTGCAATATTATTATTCTATTTCCATCTGCCACAAAAATCAAGCTATAAATCAAAACTTAAGAGCAAGAGAAATCAGTAATTGAAAGGTAAATGAATGAATTCAGATCCAAATTATTAACAAATGTTTACATTTACTTAATATGTAAACTTATTGTAATTAATGAGCACTGGCAGTTGAATTGCAGAAATTTTGAAATTTCTCTTAAAAAAAAAATACCGGGAGCTTGCCTTGCACATAGGTGACCGAGGTTTTGGTTCCCACAGGATATGGTTCCCAGAGCCTTACCAGGAGTGATTCCTGTGCAGAGCCAGGAGTAAGCTCTGAAAACCACTGGGGGTGACACAAAAACAAAACAGAACAAAAAGAACCCTAAAGGGTTCTTTCAATAACTAAAGTTATTAAATGAGGTCAGGAATATCTCTCAAAGGGCAGAAGCACACGTCTTTCATGCATCAAGCCATTTCAGCACCCACACAGACCCCCAGAGCACCAGGGACTATAACTTCCTGGAGGTCTCTGAACACACACTGAGTGGTCATGGTGGTGGTCCCTAGAACTGCTAGCCCTGAGCCAAACCATGATGCCAATCATTGATTCAGCAAAGTAGAACCAGGACTGGTCCTAAGCCTCCTGAATCTTGCTTGGGAGCCTTCCCCTTGTGAAAAATTATTAAATACATTTGTTAAAAATTCTCTGCATTATAGACATTATAATTTTTGATGAAGTACTAAACACTGAACCCAAGGCATTACAAATGTGAAGCTTGCATTTTTGGCCCTCTTTGCCTCATATTATATGACGAAAAATTCTAAATATTATTACCCAATGAGGAAAAAATATTACACAAATAAAGTAAGAGTAATTAAGGAGAACAGATTTTATCCTGAACAAAATAAAGCTCAAGTGATCATTTTTATTTTACAGGAGGATAGGTTATTAGAAATAAATGCAAAAGTCATTGCAAAGAAAAACATAACTAAAAGCATCAACAGGTTATTTGGAAATATTTCTCCTCTCCAAAACAGATCCAATATTTAATTACCATGCAATTCATCTAAAGTACATCAAATATTTAAGCCATATTAAGCTTGTAATATTTCATAAAGTTGCAAGAAATTTTTTATGTGAAGTTGAACTGTCTGAATATTTTTTAACTTACTAATAACATTAAGCAGGAAGAATCATTAATTAGTACCACTTATAAAATAATTGATTTTAATTTATAAAATGAGACTAAGTTTAAAAATCTATATTAACCATTTCTACTTCTAATGCAACTGCGATACAAATTTGCTTTGCATTGAAAAATCATGGACTTTCTACAAATATATCCTGCTTATAAGTAAAATCATCAAAATTCCCCAACTTTAAATATTCAGTATTATAAGTATTTAAATATTCAGCATTTAAATAAATTCACAAATATCTATTTCTATATACATAATACGGTAAATTTTCAATTTATTACATTAAAAAGCAAAATATTCATCCTTAATGTTTCACCAGTTTTTATTTTAATGTTAGAATACATTTATTCATTATCAATCCATAAAAATATGACCACTTAAATCACAAGTTAAGGGAAGGAAGTAAAATGAAAACTGTCATTAAATCACCAAATGGTCACACACCACCCTTAAACAGCAGAATCTCACTGCATTCATCAACAAGTCTAAAGATAGGGAAAGTACAGCACCTAAAGATAGGGAAGTACAGCACCTAAAATTTCTTTTAGATGTTGGAGATATAACAGAAACTAGACAAAAGCTTGATTATATTATTACCAACAAATTTTGAATCACATATCCATGAAAATACAGTTCTATTTCAAACATACATGAACATTCTCTTCATTTCATCGCAACTGAATTGCTCTTTGGTGTGCAGTTACTCATAACGTTTTTAAAAGAAAAATAAAATGCTGAGAATGTTGGCATTAATTTTTAAATATTGTTTTAGACAAACTAAAATCGTGAGTTCTTTATTTCCCCAAACACATACTATGCAATTATACTTCTGAACAATTTTTCATGTCAATGAAAAACTGTTCCTTTCTAACATATAAAACTTATGACTAGCACTGGTCATAATTTTGACTAGCATTGGTCAAAAGAATAGTACTTGTTTAGATAAACATTAAAAATTCAAAGTTATCCACATGCCTGTCCCATCATAATATAAATACCATATAGACATAATATGGGAAAATATAATTCACAACTACATAGCATTCCTTATATGATTGCCAAATAGCTCATACAGTAAAAACAGCAGCTAAGACCATAAAAATATTTTAACAACTTTAAAAACTTGTCCTGGACTATAACCTATTAAAGTGATGCATATATGATACCTACACATATCACTTATAACCATTTATCTTATTTGCAGTTGCTTGGCTGTAGAACTGCCTTGTTCAAAGCAATTGTTCATGATTTACATGCAATTTATATAAATCTACATAAGAGAGAAATCCTTTAACCTAGAAACTAGAGAAAAAAGATTAACAAATATGTAATTTTTTTCTAGATACAAACTGAAACATATTTTTTTAAAACTATAACTATTCCAAGGAATTTCCCAAAATGTCACTTTCTAATTCTGAATTTAGAACTTTTCACAGTCCTGTTTTTTCACATCACAAAAATGTTAATACTGAAATTTCACTGATTTTTTACATGCTTAATGGTAAGATATATCAGGATATCTGAAAATACGACTCTATCTTTTAAGATAATTTTTTATCATATGCCACATTCTAAGTTTTTATGGAATACATATGTAACAAGATTAAAACAAATCTAATATTACTGCTTGTTTATACTCAAAAAGCTCTTTTTGTAATTCAGTGTATGTATTTACCAATATACAATTACTCAGAGCTTAAATTTGATGCCTCATTAGCACTGACAAACAAAAATGCCTAAAATTTGAATACATTAAAAAGTAAACATTAAAAAAATTGACAAAAAGGTGTGATCAAAGAAAAAAGGTATTTTTTTAATTATCTATAAAACAAATTTATGAGATTGTAAAGAACAATTTAACAGCTAAAGAAGTTTCAAAGCAGGGAAACACAAATGAATTAGTCAATTTCAGTCAGTCTAGGAAGAAAAAAGCTGAAAATGTGGCTTCATTTGTCATTTAATGTAATGGCATAAAATCAGTAGGCTGTTGGTAGGACTTCTATTTATGTATTTAAATCCGGTTTCAATTCACAGATTATGCTGATCCTTCTACATATAAACAGTCAATAATGATGGCCAGGACTTTAGGAAAGGAAAAAAACACACCACACAGCAAGGTCAGGAAGCTACCAACCACCACAGGACAACAGACCAAAACAGAATGGTTTCATGTGTTTCTACTGTTTATATGCTTAATTTGAAGATGATACTCCTTAGGGAGAAAGGAGGTTGTAAATATTACTGGAAACATGAAACGCAGTATCAAGCAGAATACATCATTTTCATGCAAATATATTAAGTATTTCCTCCATGCCTCTATGTCAACATGTAGCTTTGCTAGCCATTCATTCATTCTTATATGTGAAAGCAAAATAAACTTGTCACTTTACTTTATGAATTTATTGCTAAAAATATTTATCTACCTACATTCAGTGACACAAACGGTCAAGCAAAATATCATTTTTAGTATTAGACAGCAAAGCAATACAGAGCGAGAGAAGAATGATTGGAAAAGAGATTTTGTTTTTCTGGGTTAAAATTTTGAAAATGAGAAGCAATATTTGATGCTTTTGTATCTAAGCATCCTAAAATATTACAACACAAAATAAGCAATGGTGAAATTTTACTCCATGTAGCAGATTAGCACACTTTAAACACCACAAACTAGAGCTACCTCTGGCCACCGTTTGGTTTTTTTTTGCTTTAGTCCAGTCTCTTAAAGAGACAGTATCTTTAGAACTGTACCCTACATGAGAATATCCCAAAAACATTTGAGTAGCAAACATACTCTCTTGTTCTTCTTCGAATTCACAATAAGCAAACAACACTCTACTTTATTGTGCTGTGGAATTATTTTGAAAATAATTATCTAATTATTTTAATCTGAATCTAAAATTGACTATGCTTTAGAGATTAAAATAAGGAAAACTATCATGACTAAGTACCTAAATGAAGAGGACCTATGTATCATATAACAGCTTTTTTTATTTTTTATTTTTTAATGATGACTTTTTCTTAGTTCAGTTTCTGACTCATTCACCAGACACAGGCAACAAGGCATATATACTGTAACGGTAATATTGGAAGCCACACTACAATTTCGCAGTCGAATGAAGAGAGAAAATTGCTAATACAACCAGTACCAAAGCAGTGAAAATCTCAAAACTATTCACTTCTACGTAGCAAATGATATTTTTGAAGAGGCCAATACGAACAGCTATAAAAGTGAATTACCTGAATATTAAAATGAAGACTTTCAGTTACCTAAGGGCATGTGATTACAAGTCCATTTACATAAGATCAATTCCCCCACATAGAAAAAGGCTGGAATAAGTGTGTGGGGCAGGGGATGAGGGTAGGGGTGGGGGGTATAGACAGAAAGTTCGGCTTACTTGGTGTACGAATACATCGACTGGAATATCCAAGGGTCTTCCCTCTCGGTTTATCATGGAGATGAATCCAAATCCCATTCGCACATTGAACCACTTACAGTGGCCAGTTCCGCGCAAAATCTGGGATTCTTCTTCTGCCAGATCCTGCAGCTTCCCAGGCTCTTCTCCACCACCTTTGCTAGCCCCGCCTGAGATTAAAACCGGACAGAAAAGTCAGTTTGTGTTCCCAAACTATTCACTGAAACAAAATGTGGGGAGTGGGGGAATGAGGGAGGTGGGAGAAAAAGGGGAAAAAAGACAAACAGAAACAGAAAAACAGCTATTAAATGGTCGAGTCCATCTTTTCAATAGAAATTATCTATAAAGAAAAGGGTTAAAAGGGGAAGCAGAGGGGGAGCTGCGCTGTTCTATCGATCACATCAACTTCCATGTTCCTTTACATTCCGGTACTTTTTCATTAAACTCCGTATTTCAGTCGCATTATTATAATACGGCCTTCAATACTTTACTTGCATATTGCTGATTTAACACTGATCCCATTTATAAAGAGAATTTTTCAGCGAAACTAGTCTCTGGCAAGCACAAGGAAAGAGAAATCATGAAGATGGTTAGAACTAGTAAATGCACATGCGGCAGCAGTGACGACCGGTTATTTGCAATGTGCGTTCCCCACCCCTCCCCCCCATAACTTTCAATTAAAGTTGGGGATGGAATGGGGGGAAGGGGCAGGTGTATAAAAGTTTTCATGGGCTCACTAACTGAAACTGCGCTTAATCACACTCAAACAATTCAAACAATAGCCCCCTGAAAGCTTTTCAAGTTGTGAATCAGTGTGGGCGGTACAAAACATTTTTGGAGATCTATAACAATAGGTTGCAGAAAGCCCCCTTGCGCGATGGGGGGTGGGGTAATGCCCAGTATTGGGGTAAAAGAGGAAGGGGGACCAGGCAAAGGAGAAGAGGAGAGGAGGAGGGGGGGAGAGAAAGGAAGAGAGAAAATCACAGTAAAACAATAGAAAAGAAAATTAACCTTCGGCCATGTTGCCCCACGGCCCTCTGCTCCAAACTCGTGAGCTGAAAACTTTCCCTTTGGAACGGAGTGCTCTTCTGCATCAGTCTAACATCTTGATTTTGTGCGATCACAAATTTAGCTCGCATGGTCTAATGTGCTTTCCCTCTTTTGATTTTTTTTTTCTCTCCTCTCTCCAGTTTCTGGCCCCCTGAGCACACGTGACTTTGTCAATTACATGCTTTCTTGCTACTAATTTCACCTCGGTTCCTTAAGGGGCTGGCAGGAGGAAGAGATAACCAATCGCCATTTCATCTATGCTGACATCAAAATAATTTATGAATGAACACGAAAAACTCAAACATGTTATCTTAAAGACAATTTGGGACGCTTCTTTACGATAAATCAGAATGCTGATTTCGTGCTTCTTAAGCACAAAGGAGGGTCCTAGTGAATCGATTCAGGGGGAAAAAAAACCGGCAGTCGTACGTGCACACGCGTGCCTTACTCACAAGCCTGTCTAAATAATCTCATTTAGGGAGAAAAGCTATTTAAAGCTAGCAACCGATGTTATGGCTTTTTCCCCCCTTTCAAATACCCGTAACAGTAACCCTGCTCGGAACACAAATTTTTAACTCCTAGAGGAAAATACATAATTTTAAAAGACCTAATTAAATCTAATTATATCCCCATGAAACTTTAGATAACGCAACATACACCTACAATAAGAAGCACACAATTACCTAATTATGCCCTAATTTTACTTTCCAAATTTAAAATAAAACCCTACCGGAAAATTCACTATCACCTTCACATAGTCAAATTGTACTGTTTAGGTTTATCATTTCAGAACAGTGCGGAGGGGATCTGCAAGGAATTGCACTTCACAGGTTTCTCCGCCATCTCTTTCCGGGGGAGGAGATGTGATTAATGACTTCCTAAATAACAGCCCAGTTTTCCAGCCTAACATAGAGTGAACCTCAATCAGTGGCGATTGTTCCCCAAGAGCAAAAAACGATGTAGGGCAGGGAGGGGGAGGGGAGCGCCAGGCAGGGGAGGTGAAGAGGAGCTGCCGGCAGAGGCTGAGGAGCCAAAGAAAGAGGTGGGGGGAGATGAGTGGGGAGGAGGGAGTGAAGAGAGAGAGGCAAATGGCAGGAAAAAGGTAAATTCATTTTAAAAGTCCACTATCGGTGGATAGAGGAGGCAAACAAAACGAAAATTTAATAATGGGTTTGACTCCTGCCGCTCCTTCCCCGGCCCGCCCTTACTTTCAAACGCTTGCAACCCTCTACCTTTCAAAGTGGTCAAAAGATTGTCAGTTACTCGGATGATGACCCCGATATTACCGCCCTCATGGAATAGGGCAGGATGCACCACAGAGCAACTAAAAACGGCTTATGTCCTTTAAAATGCAAGATACTGGTTTGTGCAACTTCAGAATGCACCACCACTATTTGCACCACCCCACCCCCATTTTCTTAAACAAGCAGTTTAAGAAGAAACTGTACTGATACCACTTCCCTTTAACAAAGTTACTAAACTGACCTTCCCCGCCATACCCGCAACACCCCCTCCCCCACCACCCTTCGAAACTCTCCAAACATCCCTCCAAACTCCAAACTCAGAACTCTTCTTACAGCTATTTCATACAAACTAAAATGTGGAGATTTTTAATCTCAAAACTTGTGAAAAACTGCACCTTTTTTAAAAACCTCCTCCCTATTTTAAACAACTAAGTATAAATTTATGCTAATTGATTTCAATCTGAAATAACTGGTTGAATCGTCATTTTCAGTAGTTGGTGGCAAAAGTTCCAGTCAAGACTGATTAGTTTGGAAAGATCTGTTGTCTGTTTATTTCTTTTGTTTCTCAAGAAAACCAGCAAAATTTTCTCATTTTCTTTATCTTGTGGAAAATACTGTTTCAGCAGGTAGAAAAAAGTTAAATTCCAAGTGATTTTTCAAAGCTCAAGATTCTCAAGAGTGAGCTGTTATTTACTAACTATATTCACAAGACATCTTTAAAAATATTAAAAATCAAACACATTGACCAAAATTCATGGGACATTATGACATTCCAGATAATTTCACTTAAAAAGGAACTAATCTAAAATCAGTTATATAGTTTTAGAAAATTTTAAAGAATTTTAAAAAGCAACATTTGGTAACAAAAGTATCTGAAAAATACTAAAAATTAACATAAAATTATGTAAATTTTATTTATGCAAAAGTAATTCTCATAAAATTCATGGGTCAATTCATTTGTAGTTGACACATTTCTATAAAACGGTATTTTATCTGTAAGCTTGTATTTTAATTAGTGGAAACGTTTTGGTTTCTTATAAGCCACAGAGAAGATTCTAAACACTCATTTTATTGCTATATTAGAAAACAAACCCATCAATGCATAGATGAAAAGTATGAAATACCATGCAAGAACTGCATTTGATTGGTATGGTTATGAAATTCACAGTCTTGCCTATCTGGGGGTGGGAGAGGGCTCAAGTATTAGTGGAATTAAGGTAAGGTTCACTGGACTGGTCACTGGAGTCAGAGGTTATCGCCTCATTCATTTCCTGAGAGGGACATCAGCCTTTCAAGTTGTGGAGAAGGCTTTTTCGAACTGGGAACTCAGAAACTCACCAAAATTTATTCATGAAGAATTTAAGGGAAGTGCATTTAAATACTTATGGAGAGGTCATGCAGAGGCAGGGAGGAAAAGGAAGGGAATATGATAAGAGGGAGAGGGAGAGGAAATTTGGAAGGAAAAAAGTGAAGAAAAGAGACAGAAACAGTATCCCTCAACAATTCAGGGACGTGACTTTGTGTTTCCATTTGATTTCTTTTCTACCTCCTCTCCTCCCAACACATTAATCCCGAAATATTTTTATAAAAAAAAAAAGTTTACCAGTCTCTTAAATTCAGAGGGCTTCATTCTCATAAAATGGTTCTCTAAATTTCCCTGAATGATTTTCAATTTGTCACCTTCCTGTCTTCTGGTTTTAATTTTTTTCTCATTTCCTACTTGTTTTTAGTGCCAGAAAAGTCTGCGACTGACTCAAAATGCATGTTTTATACTTGTGAATGCAAAATGTGTTTGAAAATGAGTTCAAGTAGCTACAAAGCATAGTCAACACTCTATGAGGAAATCAAGAATAACCTATCATATGTCTGTTGGTTATCACAATCTAAGGTTTCTTCACTGAAAAACAACAACAAAAAAAAAAACAACGAAGTTTACATTTTCTTGGCGTTTTTCCTTTTTATCCCAACACCAAACCACGTAATGACTCAGAAGAGGTGCCAGAGCCACCTTGATTGTTTTCCACTGTAATTAGTGACTTTTATTAAAGCAGAAACAATGCTTTGGTTCTTCTTAAAACTAGGAGGAGGGGCTGTGACAGAGTCCAGCAACTCCAAAGGCGCTAGCCTCCCTGAAAATAAACTGGTGAAAAGGGGGTGGGGGATGGGGGTCGGGGGCTTGCGGCCACAGCTGTGCCTCTGCAGCCCAGTATCTTCAAGCACATCCCACAACCCGGAATCACGAAGACCCCAGAGCCAGCTGTTTTTGCCCTCCACCTCCCGCCTCAGCGACTTCCTCTCCTCATTCTCTCTACTGTCACCTTTCCCTTATTCATCACATCACCACCTTCTCTCTAGAAGCTGAGCTGTTTAAAGATGTCTCAAGAATTAAAGAACCTTTACATCTGTCATTCTGTGCCTAAGAACGGCAAACAAAAGAAACCCTTGCCTTCTCTAGCTCCGTGGGCACCTCTTGGCACGATCTTCTGCTTTTACTGGATTTCTAGGTGTTATCATTTACATTTCGATCCTTTTACGAGATGGCAAAGGCTCTGAAACCTCCAAAAAATGAAGGCGCATGCAAACCCGAGGAAATGAGAATACACACTAGCACTCCTCACTTACTTGCTTGCTCATTCTCCCCCATCAATGCCAAAACTGAGCTGTCTGCAACCCCCAGGCTCTGTCCTTTGCTCCCTTCGGGAAGCTACACAAAAGTTGCACATCCCTTAGCAGGGTCTAGAAAACCTGGAAAAGCCGCTGGTCGGGGAGACAGTGGGGGTTAGAGGCAGGGGGAAGGGTGACTCGGGTTTTCGGGAACCCACTCCAGTGTAAGTCTTGAGGTTTCCCGCCTAAAAGCTACCAGACCTATACTTCGGTAAACTGTGAAACAACTTTTTTGAAATTACCAAACTGAAGCAATACACGACTGGGTGCTTTTAAACTTATAATAGACTTCAAAACATGGGGACATTTTGTTTTTGCTTTCAAAAAGAACTTTGTTTTCATTTAATTTCTTATCTCAAAGTAAAATGTTCTCATTTAAAACTTCCAATTAGAACATTTTTATAGCAAGTTTCAGAATTCATTTAGATTTAGGCAAGAGTATACATAAAGAAAAAACTCAAAATTTATTAACTATCTTGGCATTTCCAAAGGCATAACTTTAAAATAAAATTAACGAAATTAGAGGATCCAGACAGTATAGTTTGATTTCCAGAAATATTGTCCCCATATTTTAAAAAAAATAAAAACATGCAGATACTTCCTTCTGTTCAGTCAGGTCTCAGCAAAGATTTAAAGCAACAAAATTAGTTTAGAAAGGAGGTATTATTTTAAACATTATTTTGTAGGTAGTTTCTTTTGTTAAAAAAAAAACCTAAAACAGCAAAAATTTCTTTAACGAGCTTCTTTCCAATAAAGATGTAAAGTAAAAATTGTATTACTTATCCTAAATATATTCTGAAGTGGCTAAACACTTTCTCAAATTATTTTAATTAGCAGAGTAACAGATTAGTACAATCATTTTACAATAAGTATTTATAATATTTCACCAAAATAAAAGCTTCATGTTTTGCTTGAAAATAAATCAGAATCTTAAAAAATATTTTTACCTATACTAACATGTATACTTTCTAATTTAAAGCTTTTTTTGCATCTAATATCCCCAGACTGTAAAAACTGTACACAATAATAAAAACCCATTTCTTTTCCTGTTCCCCAAAGAAGTGGATGATTAATTTTTTTAAAATCTCAAGAAAATTAATTTAAGTAAAAATGTAGACTGCTTCCCAGATATTCAGGTCTTTTAAAAAATTATTCATTTTGATTTTGGGACTATAGCTGGTGTATTCAGAAGCTATGCCTCTCAGGAGCTATTCCCATTTAAGTGCTTAAGGTCACTCCAAGATGTGCCGGAGGAATCCGAGCTTAGCCTCCAGGATCACATCACTCTTCAAGTCCTTCTAGCCCTCTAAGCTATCTCTCCAGGTATTTACTTCAATATTCCACTTTGATTTATTTTGACTTTTTGCTGAGGGATGGTAAGTGTGGGAATAGAGGAGGTATCAGGGGTATGTTGACACCCAGAGGTGCTTAGGTTCTGTGGTCCAGGCTCTTTGTTTGGGGTTCAAGAGCTTTCCTTTGCAAATATGCAGAACCATGTGGTGTCAGGGATCAAACTTAAGTCTTCCAGCATGCATTCATTACGCTCTCTCTCAGGTTCTATCTCAGGTTTACTTGGGAGAAGCAAACAGGGAAGAAAAGGAACAGGGGGATAGCAAAAGATAAGTGAGAAACTACTTTAAGGCATTAAAAATGTGGGGGCAAAGCAACAGCACAGCAGGTAGGGCATTTGACTGCGTTTAATCCCTGGCATCCCATTTGGTCCTTCGAGCACTGCCAGAAATAATTCCTAAGTGCAGAGCCAGGAGTAATCCCTGAGCATCGCTGGGTGTGATCCAAAAAAGCAAAACAAAACAAAACAAAACAAAACAAAAAAACCCAACGTTAAAGATGGTTGGGCTGGGGGCAGGGGGAGAGAACATCACAGAGATAGTTCAGATGTTAAGGCATTTGCCTTACACAGCAGACCTGAGTTCAATTCCCAGCATTATAATGGTCCCCCATGTACCCTGTGATCCCTGAGTGCAGAGCCAGAAGTAACTCCTGAGCACTGCTGAATGTGGCCCCCCAAACAAATTATTAAATACTGTATCAACTTTTCAGAATCTTTTTCAAGATACTCATTAGAGCATCCCTTCTACATCAAAGAATTCACTGTAGCTTATGTCAAATGGCAGTGCCTATCAGGCAGAGCTTCATCAAAACTTTGCTCTTTACTATTTTACTATTAGCACCTATTCTATAATTCAACATTTCATAAGCTTATTAAGATAATGACATCTGTTTATGTGTAATTGCTAACGATCGTAAAACTGGGTCAGATCAAAACTTTTAAGTGTATTTTCATATTAGCTGGATAGTTTCAGGGCCAAATTCATCCAGTCAAAAGCTGGAGTAATACATCATTATCAAATAAGATTATCAGGAAAATAAGTATTATAACTTAATTTCATTATCATTAGAATATACGCAAAAAAGTCTAGGATTTACAGTATATCTTAACAATTGCACATCTGTATACCAAACAATTCTGTTTAAAATGCTAACTGTTTGAAGCCAGAAAGATAATACTGGGCTAAGGCACTTACTTGCCTTGCACACTGCTGACCCCAGCTGGATACCTGGTACCATATATGGTCCCTGACCACTGCCAAAAGTGGTCCCTCAGCAGAGTCAGGTATGACCCAAAACTCCCCCAAAATATGAATAAATAAAAAAGTTTTACTTAAAAACTAAAAATGCAAAAAGTTCAAATAACTCATCTGTGCAGTCAAATGAGAAATGAATTCAAAAATATTCATTAAAAGCAAGATAAATTAAGGGTATTAAACTTAATTAAACTTAAATAAGTTTTCCAAATTAGAGAAATTCCAGAACTCCCTGGAAAAATGGTTAATGATCCATGTTATATATATCTATATAAATTTTTATATATAGCATACTTATCTAGCTATACATGCATGTGTGTGTATATACACATATATGTACACATGAAGAGCACCAAATCTTTAAATTAATTCAACAAGTAGAGGCTGAAGAGAGAGTATGGTGGATAGGGCACTTGCTTTGCACATTGTGAACCCAGGTTCAATCCCAGTACCCAATACAGTACCCTGAGCCCACCAGGAATGATCCCTGAGCACATACCCAGGTGTAAATCCTGAGTACTGCCAGCAGTGGCCCAAAAACAAATGAAGAAAGAAATAAAGAATAATTAATGCAGCAAGTACTGTAAATTCCTACTTTGGTCTGAATTACAAAATTGAGTAAGTCACAACTTCTCATATATCCCAATGAGCATTTATATATTTATTACATATTTTGCCTGAAATGTAGAAGAGAATTACAAAGTCCAATACTATCAAAACCAAGAGGAAAGAAAGTGAATTAGAAGATTTAATTCATGCTTCTATGTTGGGTATACCAGTTTATAATGAAGTGATCCAGAGCACAGTCAAATACAGTAATTCTCTTGGCAGTCCTTAGGACTGTCAAGTTTTCCATATGCTTCTAGCGATTTTTTTAGAGATAAAGTAAAACACTCAATTGAAGAGGTTGGAGCAATAGTACAGCAGGTAGGATGCTTGTTTGTGCTGGACATAGAAAACCTGGGTTTAATCCCCCTCATCCCATATAATCCAGGCCCACCAGGAGTGATCCCTGATCCCTAGGAATAAGCCTTGAGCAATACTGGGTGTAACTGAAAAAACCAAAACCAACAAAAAAAATTTTATTGAAAAATACGACTAACCTGGGGCTGATGTAACCTGGTTGAATGACCTCATCATCTTCTGAAGAACCTAAAATCAAAAAGTTCAAGTCAGTACTGCTTTAACTGCTTTTTTAATTGCCCCTTTTTCAGTTTAGTAGCTTAACAGAAATAAAATGCACGGGATTTGACTCAATGAAGTGAAATGTAATTTTTTTTTTTAACAATTTAAGACTCACCTAGCAAAATTAGATAATCAATTGGCATAGTTTGCCCTTTGCTCCTACAGAAGACAGAGGCTTAAGTAAACACTTTATTATTCTTTTAATATTCTTTATTTTATTGAATCACCATGACAGAGCATTACAAAGCTGTTCATGATTGTTTCAGTCATACAATGTTTCAGCACCCATTACTACACCAGTATAATTTCCCAGAACCAATGTCTCCTGCTCCCCAAATCATCCTCCACCCCTGCCTGCCTCTATGGCAGGCACCTCTCTTCTCTCTCTTCTCTCTCTCTCTCTCTCTCTCTCTCTCTCTCTCCCTCTTTCTTAAATAAACATTTTAAACAGAACAAGATCTTGATATCAGGAAGACTGCAGTTCAAATTTTTTTCCTAATTTTTAAATTTTACATTGTAAGAATCCCTTTTTTTCAATCAGGTTAAAAATCAACCTGACCTACAATGATTTTTTTGATAAACTGATTTAACTAGTCACTTCAGATATATTTTATAAGATTATTCATGAGAATGTAATTGTGGTGCTATGTCACTAATATTGAGTCTTTCATGCTTTTTAAAAATGTTAATGTCTTAAACACAAAATATACCTTATTAATAATTATATTATTAATATACATTAACCCAGATTTTAAAAATTCAGGAACTATTGTTTCTAATATATCCACTGGCAGATGTCACCCACAATAAAAACTGTGATAAAGAGATCACCAAGTAATGAAGTAAAACAACTGGAAGAGCAACTCCCGATGGCCACTGAATTTTCAGGTTCATTACTAGGATTTGGAAAATAGATTGGTTTGAACACACATCCACTCACCTGCTACCACCCAGAATTGTCTTTATTCTCTTAGAAAAGTTTTATAAATTTTGTCTAATGTATTAATAAAAAATAAACCACTATGTTTTAATTCTATAAAGTTGCAATATAATTTTCTTCTCAAAATAAAATGGAGTTTTTTCCAAGTGCAAAGTTTCAGGGTGTTGACCCAAGTTTTTTCTGACAAAAGATGACAATTCCTCTAAGATTTGAAAATAAAGGAAGAATGTGAACAAAAGGCATATGACTCTCTGCCCATTAAATTCTTGTTATCTTGTAAATTTACAACCAAAGGAAAAAATTACCAATTCCACATTAATAAAATTAATAAAATTTATTGAAAGTTTTCTTTCAGTAAACTAATATTTTATTTTTACACTTATGTAGGTGTATAAATACTGTAACTAAATTTCAAGAAAATCGTTGTTCATGTTTTTCTATACCCATGACCCCCATGCTTATCTTCTCCACCTGCTTATATTTAAGAAAAGCACAAACCACCCAAAACACAAGTCATTCCAGGGGAGGGGGAATGAAAAAAAAAAAAAGAAAGAAAAGTTCAAACTTGGGCTGGAGCTGTACTACAGCGGGTAGGGCATTTGCCTTGCAAGCAGCCAACCTGAGTTCTAATCCACCGGCATCCTATATGGTCCAGCAAGCAGTGCCAGGATTAATTCCTGAGTACAGAGCCAGGAATAACCCCTGAGCATTGCTGGGTGTGACCCAAAAGGAAAAAAAAAAAAAAGCTTAAACTTAAAATAGCATAAAACAGGCAGGGCTTACAAAAAATACTCACATAATTATAGCTAATAAAATAAATATCAAGTGGTGTAGTAAGCTAAACAATGTTATTTAAAACTCTAATTAATCAGTGTTCTATATTTAAAGAAAGTCAATTTGAATGATGAAGATGTACAGATTTTTCTCTATTAAATCTTAGATTTTTCTGTTTATAGCTTTAATATCAGCACTTTAAAAAAGACAAAAAAGCATTTATTTTACAAAAACTAATGTATTTCACTGATGTCAAGAAACTTGTTTAATATTTTGAAAATAATTTTTAAAGAAAACAACTAAGTTTAAAAATGGATGTTACAATCTATCCATCCAATGTTCACAGAACAATGATAAAGTATTAACAATATTAAATGTTTACAATCTTACTAAAGGTGAATGCTTGGGATATCACCCAAACAGTGGTCTGGGACCCTAACATTTTATAATATGAACAATTCTTTAAATGCATGACTGCTCCAAAAACAGCTATTTGTAATTTCATACCAAAATTTTTATTTAACAGTATAATTTCTAATAAAAATTTAAATTAGATACTTAAAGATTAAAATGTAATTAAAACTGTGATCTATTTCTCTGGCTCTTCACTGGAATAAGCCATCTTCACTAAATCTCCATTTAAGACACTGTTGTTTTGGTTTTGAGGGTTTTTTTAAAGGTGGGAGGGGGCAAAGGCCACACGAAGCTTACTCCTCACTCTGTACTCAGAGAACACTTCTGGGCATCAGATGCAGTGGTAGGGATGGAATCTGGATGACTATTAAGACAAGTGCCTTCTCCAGACTGTACTATTCCTCCAGCCCCACTTATCTTTTCTTCATTGTTACTCACTGAGTACAATCCCTCTGCCATGCAGTACTGTACCGTAGCTGTAATGGCCTCTGAACATGTTCTCTCCCAACTTGACTCTATACTCTGCAGTGGGGACTATGTATATGCAGTTCAACACTGTAATTAATCCCAACATTCTTTAGTATTTGATATTTTTGCAATAAATCAATGATTTATGACAATGAATTTTTTTTTTTTTTGCTTTTTGGGTCACACCCCGCGATCCTGAGGGGTTACTCCTGTGTCATGCACTCAGGAATTGCTCCTGGCAGTGCTTGGGGGACCATATGGGATGCTGGGAATCGAACCTGCGTTGGCCATGTTGGCTGCGTGCAAGGCAAACGCCCTACCCACTGTGCTATCGCTCCAGCCCTGGCAATGAATTTCTTAACCTGGGTTAACTATCTCTCCTTTTTTTCTCTTTGCCTTTTGTGAGAGGTGTCACCTCAGTGGTGCTGAGGAGTCCCTGCAGGAGCAGGGATCAAATCCAGGGCTCTGTTCTAGCATTCAGAGCCATCTCCCTGTTCTCCTTAAGATTTCTTTTAGGAAATAAATGGATTTCTATGCAAATATTTAAGTCATATTTCATAAAAAGATAATGTAACTGGCAATAGTTTGGCTATTACAAATATTACTTATGAATGTGGAGAGAAATTTTAATAATCTTAAAGATCGAGGTTTACTGCTATAAAACTACTTAACAAATAATATCCATTATAAATACTCTTAAATTTCAAGCTTCCTCTTACTAATTTTTGGGGGGGATATGAAGGGGTGGGACACACCCAGAAATACTTGGGGTTCACTCCTGCACTCAGGAATTACTCCTGGCAGTGCTTGGGGAACCATATGTCAGGGATTGAAACCAGATGGCCCCATGCAAGGTAAGTGTCCTCTCTAACTACTGTAGTATCTCTCAAGTCCACACTTCCTCTTATTAAAATAACAATCTTCTGTAGTATTTCACATGCTGTAAATCCCATATTGTAATTGTTTAATATAAAATGCACTATTACTACTACATATTATACACTGATATTTATTAAACACAGTCAAGCTGTAAAAACTCAGAGAACAAAATAATTCTAAAATATATTATTCAGAATTTTACTTCAATTTACAAGTTAGCTTTACTTCTAATTTTAATAAAATATCACTTTAAGCTGGCAATAAATTATCGAATAATCAAGATATTCACCATAATATAAGTAAATATATCTAATTACCCCTCAATACAATTTCTCAACATTTTATGAAACCTTCAGGCAACAAATATTTTTATTATCAGTTATTTCTAAACTGTTAAGTTTAAATACCTTAGAATTTACAGAATGAAATACTAACATTACACTTCAAAAAATATCACTATTTATAATCATTTTATCTACCATGGAGCTAAATATATTATTTGGAATGCAAAGTGAGCAATAGATGACTTTTCTTTCTTCAAAGAATAACTTTGAGACAAGGTTTCAAATAATTAAACTTATAATCATAGCAATCAACCTATACCGGCACCAGAGTAAAATCTAAACCACATTGTAACGTCCATTTACAATTTAAATGCAATAGAATATATATAAACTAAACATAGGATATATACATTCAATTATAGAAGTGAACAGTGCTTTCTTATACAGTTCTCTAACATTGTTTAATATGTATTAAAACTCTTCACTGCAATTACTTTTTCCAAAGCACTTAATAGATTAAATACAAATATAATCCAAGGAAAATCAGGAATTAGTTTGCAATTGAACATCATGCTGTAATCTTAAATAAAAAATACTACATTCTCAATTTATACTCAGAAATTTTAAAGAAAAACCTACTTAAAATAAAGTAAGACATTTAATGGGAAAAGATGAAAAATTGTAGTACTTAAGGGTAATAAGGTTTTAGTTAAAAAATTGTAGGTACTAAAAGGAAACTTCACATCTGGTGAAATGCTTTGAACATTGTTTAAAGAGAACAGAAAAGGCTAAAAGGAGCCAGAGCCATAGTACAGCATGGTAGGGCACTTGCCTTTAACACAGCTGGGGTTGGATCCCCAGCACCCCATATGTTCCTCCAAGTCTTACCAGGAGTTATCTTTGAGCACAGAGTCAGGAATAAGTTCTGAGTACCACTGGGTGTGGGCTCCCTCCCCAAAGATTATTAGCATCTGCCTGCCAGGCAGGCAGGTTTGAGTGATGGGAAAATTCAAAATAATGGTGGCGGGACTGGTGTTGAAATATTGCATGTAATCAATTAATGCGAACAAGCTTATGGAAATAAAATTTTAAAATTAATTAATTAAAATGTTAGATTACTTTGGGGAAAATATTTCACACATGCATTATCATCTGTATTTATCAAGTAAATTAAGAATGTTATTTCTAATACACAG